AAGACACCAGGTCAGCATTAACTGTTCTCTGGCTGGACCACATCACATGTAAACGGCACAGGGATTTTTTGCAACACAATCCAGTCTTACCCTCAAAGCCGCTGTCAGAGGAAGCGATTGAGTCTGTTTTTGAGGTATCGTGTGTTTCACATCTGTCTCGATTATTAGGATTTGTGTTGTTTGATTGCTGCAGACAGACAGCCCATTTCACAGCCTCCAGCACTTCCAGAAGCATGTCCACAACTACAAAATGAGCATTTTCCTGCACACAAACAATAATAACCACTTAAATTATAATATGAGAGATATCTGAAGCAGATGCACACTTTATTCAGGTTTTATATATGTTTCTTTATTTAACCAGATAAGAAGACAATATCTCATTTACAAGGATGACCTGGCCAAGATGTCCAAAACACACAACTTATGAAAAACAATAATACTAAATAAAAAGTAAAGATAATCTAAAAAATACAGTTTAGTTATTTAGCTACACCACATTACAATATGTTAAAACACATACATTGATGTTGGTTGTCTCCAAACAAGACTCTACGATGTAAGAAATGTAATAATATAAAAATGAACAATTTCTAGAACTAGAAAATAAATTTAATATTAAATGATATCCAGAACTACAGAAATATAATCTTAAAATACACAGATATCTAAACAGACAGTAAAATATTTAGTTCTGATATACAAAGAGGGAAATAAGTATTCAACACGTCACCATTTTTCTCAGAAAACATATTTCTAAAGGTGCTGTTGATTTGAAATCTTTACCAGATGTTGGTAACAACCAAAGAAATCCATATATGAAATGAAAACAAATATAATTTGTTTACAAATTAAGTTATGCATAATAAAATGAAATGACGCAGAGAAAAAGTATTGAACACATGAAGAAAGGGAGGTGTAAAAAGGCAGTGAAGGCCCAGACAGCAGCTGAAATCTCTCAGAAGTTATTTAGCAACACTCTGCCCTTCGTCATTGATTATGCATACATGAACATCAGTAAGCGAATGATTTGTCTTAATCTGAATTAGACAGTAATATGATTAAGGTGTTTACATGAGTAGCCTTTTGAAGGTTCCTTTCATGATCCTGTTTTACATGTAATAGCACATATTTCGATTGACGTCATTGCATCACCATGCTATCCACACTTCACATTTTATCCACGTTTCATGTAATTTCAGGTGTGTCATTTTTAATTTGTTGACTTTAACAGCAGTTTGGCACTTTCACTTTCATTCAGAAACATTTCATGCATAGCCCCTGTGATAAATAAGGTACTGGATGCGAGTATGAATGGCTTTTAGAGTGTTGTTTTAATGGAATTTTAACCGAACACTGTATGGTAGAAAAAAATTCTGAATTTCACGATGCAGGTGTCTTTGGTCCTTTACTGAATTGGCAGGTGCAGAGAATAATGCCAGACAGCCGTGTGTGTATAGTCTATCCTGTTGAAAATCCTACATGATGGTAATAGTTTGATCAAGGTGTTTACATGTTTTTACTGAGGTTCAGTATTGTGACTAAAATCAGCATACTCCGCATGTGACTTTATTCTCCACATGAGAGGCGTCTTTAAGCTGCCATCACCAAAAAAAAAAAAAAAAACGTAAACTAAGAGTAAACAAAATAGTCAAAACATTTCTTTTTTTCTAAGATATTAGATACAAGTATTCAACACGTCATGTTTTTTTTTTTTGTGCTGGGAATAGTATTTCCAAAAGACCTGTTGACATGGAATTGAACCACATTTTGGAAAAAACCCAAACAATCCAAACATACAAATATAACAAAACAAAAAATATGAAAAAAGATTTATGTTTATTAACAATGGAATGACACAAGGAGAAAGTACTGAACTACTGACTTGTATTTAATACTGTATATAAAAGGCCTTTTTGGTCATGGTAGCTTAAAGACTCCTCAAACTCTCATATGGAGAATGAAGTCACATGCATTGCACAGGTGTGATTTTTTTATAGACCACAACAGAGTATAAAAATCTTGATGGTTCTGTGTGTTCTAAAAACATATTAGAGTGTATTACCTGGTCCAGACTGTTGATGTCTTCATTGGAATCTCCAATAACAAATGGCCAGTGTTTTGCTTGGTCTGAACTCTTCCGATTAATTTGTGGGATGTCAGAACAGGCCCTTCTTTTAGTTAACTCCTCATGTAAGCGTCCAGAAAAGAAAGGGAGGCTGTGAAACTGAGTGTCCTGAGAGACATGTGAAATTCTGGTGCCATGTTGCTTATCTGTGAGGAGCAGCATCTGTCTTGAAGAGCCCTGGAGTGAATCACACTCATCAAAGTTTCTCTCGTTCTCTGAGCGCCTCAATTCTTCCAACCTGTGTGGACTTGAAGCGTTCGACTTCAGCCCTGGAGAGGTAGATATTTCCCAAAGTGGAGGTGTCACAGAGAGACCACATTGTTTTTGTGTGTCTGTGTTTGGTCTCTTGCGGCATATGACAGGACTGCTCCGGGGAAGATGATACTGTTCATCAGGGTTGAGGAAATCTGAATCACATTCACTGACTGGAGAGTTACATTCTTTCACTTCACTTTCTCTGATATCATTCTCCTCCTCCTCCTCTTCCTCATCATCATCATCATCAGTGGGATTAGATGGTGGATTCTCCCAATCAACTAACCATTTAGCAAAGTGCAAATCTCCAGTGGTGCTCCTACTACCAGCATATGCCTGGAGAAACAGACAAGATAGTATAGCGAACATTGTTAATGTTTTGATTAAAAAAAAAAAAATTAAATATTTAATATATTTTTAACATCATACATCATAAATACAATGACTTTAAGAAGAGGTCAGTCACAATGAAAATTCTGTCATCATTTACTCACCCTAACCTGATTTTCAAACTTTTGAAGAATATACACTTTTCACTTAATATTTAAAAGTCAGTGGGCTTCACCACAAAAACTGACCCCATTGACTTTTAATGTAAAAGAGAGAGAGAGAGAGAAATTGATTTTCTTCTAACAAAGTAAAATTTAAAAAGTTATTTCCCCCAAAATGTTTTCTTCTGTTTTTTCTCAGAAGTCAGCGCGTTTTGACAGGTTTGGCATGACACGAGGTTTGGTAAAAGATGACAGGCTGCAGTTTCCCTTTTAAAATTTACAACTTCATTAATATGCAGATTGTAAACTATATATCCTTGTTTCTCTATTCTAATGCTTTTGATTATGTTGTGATCTAACAAAGAGATAAAATCCAGCAAAACTCACCATATCTTGTTTGAGTAACCTGGAGAGAAGTTGAAGCTTTCATTTATGATATGATCTGATTCGCTGCAAGCAGTTTCACTTCCTTGGTCTCTAAATATGAGCCAATGTGCGAATTCTTTAGAAAAGCAGAACATGCAGTGTCTTGCCTGCTTGATTAGAATACTAATGCAGCATACTAAATTACTGAAATAAGGGCAATAATAAAGTGTTCAAATGATTTCATTAGGTTTTATTTAAAATGTTTTGCTTTAAAGTTCTTTTAGTTGTCTTTTTTGGGTCATTAAAGTCATTAAGACACAGTAACTTTAATCTTAAATAGTTTTACTTTCTCATATACACAAATATACTTCATTTTCCTTTGGCTTAGTCTCTTTATTCATTATATGTTTTACACAGTGAATGCTCTTCCAGCTGCAACCCAGTACTGGGAAACATGCATACACACTCATACACTACAGCCAATTTAGTTTATTTAGTTCACCTATAGAGCATATCTTTGGACTGGGGGAAACCGGAGCACCTGGAGGAAGCCCACGCCAACATTGGAAGAACATGCAAACTCCACACAGAAACCAAATGCCCAGCCAGGGCTCGAACCAGCAACCTTCTTGCTCTCCCTTTGTTTCCTTGGTTTTCCTCAATCCAAAGATATGCACTAAAGGTGAAATGAATAAACTAAATTGGCCTTAATGTATGTATCTGCATGTCAGAGTGTATGGGTGTTTCCCAGTACTGGGTTACGGTTGGATAAGCATCCACTGTGTAAAACATATGCTGGATAAGTTGGCGGTCCATTCCGCTGTGGTGAACCCTGATTAATAAAGGGACTAAGCCAAAAAGAAAATGAATGAATGAATGAATGAATATATATATATATATATATATATATATATATATATATATATATATATATATATATATGTGTGTGTGTGTGCGTATATGTGTGTGTGTGTGTTTTATATTATGACTATTTTTGCTATATATTTTATTTTATATTAATATAGAGTAATTAACTTTAGAAAAGGGGCAAAGAAGTGGGCAGTAGGTAGTGCTGTCGCCTCACAGCAAGAGGGTCGCTGGGTTGCTGGTTCGAACCTCGTGTGGAGTTTGCATATTCTCACTGCGTTCGGGTGGGTTTCCTCCAGGTGCTACAGTTTCCCCCACAGTTCAAATACATGGGGTACAGGGGTATTGGGTAGGCTAAATTGTCTGCTGTGTGTGTGTGTGTGTGTGTGTGTGTGTGTGTGTGTGTGTGTGTGTGTGTGTGTGTGTGTGTGTGTGTGTGTGTGTGTGTGTGTGTGTGTGTCTGTGTGTGTGTGTTTGTTTCCCAGAGATGGGTTGCGGCTGGAAAGGCATCCGCTGTGTAAAAACGTGCTGGATAAGTTGGCGGTTCATTCCACTGTGGCAACCCTGGATTAATAAAGGGATTAAGCCAACAAGAAAATGAATGAATGAATGAACTTTAGAAATAAAATCTTAAAGTGATTTATTTTTAAAGTTTTATGCGGAGAGCATGCATAGATCCATAGTGTGCTTAATATCACTGAACTGTGCGTAAAACAATGAAATGAATTCCATTAAGTAAAATCATCCCCATTTTTTTACGTATCTTCATACACTAAACTTCAATATCATCACTGCATGACATATTATTGCACCACGGTTTGCTGTTCCAGTGAACGTACAGCAGATGCCGCTGCAGTGAAGCCCAGTAAACCCGTTATTGGCACGAGCTCAGATCCATAAACAAACTGCGCAGACGCGTCATAATGGACAGCCAGAAAGCGCACTAGGAGGAAATTCACCTACAGCTTTAGAGAGCAGAGCATTTTCAGCGGGATTTACAGATAGTAGAGTTTTTCGACGAGCTTTTTCCCCGACGGGGCGAATATGGCGACGCTGGGACCGGAGCCCCGTCCTCTTTCCCAGCTGCCTTCTGCCGCATTACAGACGAACCTGAGCGGACTGGGCTCCAGCACGAACCTGCCCCTCAACCGAGGCTTGGAGAGAGCGTTGGAGGATGCGGCGAACTCTGGATTTCTGAACCTCAGTACAAGGAAACTGAAAGAATTCCCTCGGACTGCATCAAATTATGACCTGACGGATACGGTTGAAGCAGGTAAAGTGAAGTGATGCTGTGTTTGTGTTTAGTAGCACGCTGTGTGCGCGCGCGCTCTCTCCGTCAGATGCGCTCAGAATAGTTTCAAACGGGAATGTTGCCCATAATGAGTTGTTTTTTTGTCGCATTTTTACCACTAAGTTTGGGATTTTCATAAGTTTCATTACACAGCTCAAAGTCAACAGAATCAGATGAAACGTTGTGTCAGCTTGTGTATAAAATGTTACAGAGTATGTTGCTGACAGGACAGTGCTGATGTGGGCAACTTTAGTTGAATCCAGATGCGTTTCTAACGCCCTGGACGGAACTTTGATGATGTGACGGACGTTGTTATTGTCGCGCTGGACTGTCCGCGTACAAGACTTCCTATTTGACCAGCTTGTGCACATAATGAGTACTATGGAAATCCCCTTACACTCATGACAGGAGATTTCATTTCCATTTCTGGAGTTCAGAAGAGCACAGCCTACGAAATGAAAATGAATCCATTCGTGGGTTTTGTTTTGAAACGGGAACCCTGAAGGCTGATGTTCACAGGGTCTGCTGGGATTAGTTCTATTGTTTACTTACTACACGGCGTGAATAATTAACTTGCAGCTGTTACGTCATTGAGGATGCACTGAGGAAACATTTGTGCATGACCTCAAAATATTACAAGCTAACTTAAAAAATATTAGGCAAAATGATTATTTAGTGGTTTAATCTGTATAGTACATTAGTGAGTTGGTGAATCATCAACTAGCCAACTTTGCCATCTTTCTTTTGTAGAATTAGAAATAGGTTAGATGTTCTGAGTTGAGGCAGTGTTTCTTGTGTGATGAATGAGCTACTGAATTATTCACTCAACCATTTTGTCAATGTTCAAAGTAAACATTTTTTTTTAACTATTTCTCCTTCCGATTATAATAATATAAAGAAAACAGCACCTGAGCCAAGTGGTGTTGAGATTTTTTGACAAACCGTTGGTAAATACATAAGAAGTAAAGTTTAAATTACAGTATGTAATAGTGGATACAGACATTTTTTTTTTTTTTACAATTTGTTTATTTGGAAACACAAAAACATGTTCAGTGTTAACAAGTCCATATTCATAATTTATCCTATAAATAAATAAATAAATAAATAAATAAATAAATATATATATATATATATATATATATATATATATATATATATATATATATATATATATATATATATATATATAAAATATATATTCCATAATGTAGATCTTACTCTGAACGGTTCATCCCTGAATGTTTAGTTATTTGACCTCTTAATGAAACAATATGTAATATTCAGAAAACCGTGTTGTTTATTGGACCACAACCAGCAGTTGATATTAGAGACTCCATATCATTCAATGCCCTGATATACTCATGGTGAATACTATTTTTGCTCTTTGATTACAAGAATAAATACCTTTACAGTTTGCACCAATTTACTGATAACAAACATCCAGATGCCATTCACACTATACTGACAGCGGCATTGATCATGCAAATTATTACTCCACCACCCTTTTCTAATAACAAATTAAACAATGCAGTGAGAAAACAGCAGTTAAGGAAGCATCTTATTTTATCCATATGGGTATGTTTACACAAGCTCTGCATTTCACTGTGATCATCATGACTAATGACATACTAGGCAGCGTACAATGATAGTATATATAAATGTGTTCCGGCGGATTATGTTCACATTAATTGTCAGTTCATTTAGTTTCTGAATGAAATGTCTAGCTATGAGCCTTGAGTCTGGTTAAAACTGCCTGCATGTATGAGTCTAATCAATGACATGCTGTCTCATGGTGCTATTAGCTCTTATGCTTCTGTGAAAGAGTCGCGATTCGTTCACTGAAAAGATTCGGTCACAAGTAGTCGTCATAATGAACGGCTGCATGCGGTTAGCAATGATGACAGTGAGGAATGTTCAGAGAGCGGGATCTGCTTCCGTTCTCCATGAATTCCTCCACACTCCCCTCGGCTAGGAGGCAGGAGAGCAGCTAAAATAGGAAACAGGAAAGGGCAGACTGTGGAAATGGCAAATTCCTAGCATTCTAAAAAGCTCTTCTGAAGTACTTTAATGCAGGAAATTGTTTTTTATTTGAGCATAAGAAGTGTTAGTAAGTAACTTAAAGGTGATAGGTTTTGCTGCTCATGGTGTGACAGATAAGTTGCCGCAACATGTATTTGCTCTGCATTATGTTTCATTCGATACATCTCAATAGGCTCTGTTCAGTGGAAGTACTGTATTTGTTTGGACTCACTCAGGTGTTCTGTTTCACTGCTACAGCTGATTTCTCCTCACAGTAGTTCTGGATTTTTTTTTGGTCTGCAGACTCATTTCAAGCTGGGACATGCTGTCCTCAGAAACACACTCTTTCTATTGCACGCTTTACCATCTAACGGGAAGAATGTTTTTCAGTTTTACCGGTGCTGCTGGGTATGTTCTATTGCTAATAAAACTGTATAGTTGTTTATTGTATTTGTGCCTTTGAGCTCTCTCTTCTTTGGGTAGAGAATGCTCCGTTTATGTTGCTTGAGGTTGTGCTATAGTCTTTTTTATACACATACTAAGTTTTCAGGCGAATTGTAGGGAATTTTTGGATTAAAGACGTTGTTTCAAGAAGGGTTTTTATAAAATTCCAGCATAGCTGAAAATGAAAGTTCACAGGTTAATACCTGTTTTAGATGCACAGCAGTTTGCGGTAGCATATTATGTGTAATCATTTAAATGCTTATTTTCTGTTTTGTAAAGTTTATAATTAAATACATTAATAACGTAAAACACTGTAAAAATCTGTTATTTATCTGTTTTTAAAATGGATCTTATTATTATGTGAAATTATTTCATTTCTTACTTTTAGAATTTCTTGATTCTAAAATTTTGTGATTTCTTTATTTTTCTGATATTTATTTATTTATTTATTATTTGTAACTAATTTCAAGAGTTCACACTTAGCTGATGATTGATTATAAAAGCTTGTTTGGCATGCTGTCCCGGGAGAGAGCCCTAAGCTAATGAGATCCTCGAGCCCAGGGTTCCCTCCCGATGCAAGGCGGGAGGGGAGTTTGAGCTCAGTTAGATCTCGAGAACTCCCCTGCTGTAGTAAACAATGAACAGTAAGTGATTGCTCTTGGAGATAACTACATAGTAGAAGCATGTCTATGGTGCCGATTTGGATTAGTCAATTAACTTAATTTACATGTTTTTGGACGGTGGGAGGAAACCTGGGAACCCGGGGGAAACCCACGTGAGCACGTGGAGACAGTGCAAACTCCACACAGAAATGTCTGCTGGTTTGGTAAAGCCTGGAACCAGAAACATTCTTGCTGTGAGGCAACAGTGCTACGCACTGGGCCACCATGTCACCCATCTAGGAAGAACGAGGAGTAGGGGTGGAAAGGGGGACTCTTCAAAACGAAGATAGCAGTGGAATGAAACCCAGGGTATTTATAGTAGTTTAGGAGTCATCTGATTGTAGCATAGTGAATTGGATAAAGCAGATCCAGCCACTAGCAATCATAAGCACGTGATCCTCTCGAAATTAGTTTATACATAAACTTCACTTAAATGAACTGGACTAAATATATACACCACCTTTTGAAATGTATTTATATTATTATTTTATATTTTATAATATTTAACAAATACTAAAAAGCAAGTGTCATCATTTCTACAAAAGTATTAAGCTGCAGCATTGTTTTTAACATTGTTAAGAAACTGATACTCTTCTTAAATCAGCATATTAGATGATTTTCAGAGGATCTCGAGACACTGAAGACGATGGTGCTGAAAATTAAACTCTGACATCCCAGGAACAAACATAATTTTTAAAATATTTAACAGTGGAACTATTAATGTTAATAAAAAAGATATTACTGCTTTATTGTATGTTAATGGAATCTATTAGATATTTTGTGGATACACATAAGAGACCACAAAACTTTTGAACAGCTTTTAGCGAATGGAATGTCAGCGATTTATCAAAGTGATAGTGAATGGGGAACCATGCAATGAAATCTATATGTATAGTTGTTTAATGTATTTGTGTCTTTAAGCTCCGTCTTCTTTGGGTTTATGTTGTTTGAAGTTGTAAACAAATTTATGTTGTTTAAATATGTCAGTGCTTTAAATATTAAAATAGTACAAATAGCAGAAAATTGTAAAGTTGTGACAGCCGAATTATAGGGAATTTTTGGATTAATGGTATCATAAAAAAACAGGTGAACCATGCAGTGAATTGTATAGTCTAATCCACAGGTGTCAAACTCCATTCCAAAAGGGCAGCAGCTCTGCACAGTTTAGTTCCAACCCTAATTAAACACACCTGATCAAACTAATTGAGTCCTTTAGGCTTGTTTGAAACCTACAGGTAATTGTGTGGGAGCAGAATTGGAACTAAACTGTGCAGGGCTTCGGCCCTCCAGAAATTGAGTTTGACACCCTTGGTCTAATCTTTTAAATTACACTGCCATGGCATAGTTTAAACCAAATGCACTAGTTTTGAACATATGTGGTCTGCACAGCATCTCTTGCTCGTACAAGTAAACAGATCAATTCTCATATTAGTGTTAGTGCTTTTTAATGCATCATCTGCATGCAGGGCCGGAGTGGGACTCTTTTTCAGCCCTGGAGTTTCAAGCCTCAGACCGGCCCACCTCAGTTCACCACTGACTATATTAAAATAAGGTTATTTCCAATTCAGTTTCTAATTACACTATCACGTCTTTTTTTGAGAAAACAGCTCTTTTAGATCTTAAAATGTTCAAAAACCCTTACAGTATTATGTCTTAACAATAAAAATGAAAAAAATAAAAATTGTTACTCAGACAAGGACCGAACCCAGGTTGGCCGCGTCATAATCTAACGTACTAACCACTGTACCACAACAGCTGTATGTTGAATGGTGACTTATCTAGTTATACCATCATTAATCTGCAGGCTGCATCCTGCTCACGAGGCTACGAGAAAATAGATAAAAAGAGCAGAGCTGC